GAAGAGCAAGCAGCTGCTGCTGGCCAGCTTCACCTTGTGGTGCTTGGAGCCAAGAACTTGCCTGTAGTGAGATGTGGTGGCACTTTGAATTCGTTTGTTAAAGGGTATGTTTGAGATTTAACACAAACGTTTTAGAATGTTTTAAAACCTTTGCCCACTTCTGCATCCAGCTAAAAATTAGTGCCAGTGCGTAGATCGAGTAAGTCTCACACAGGAGTCTGGAGCCAGATTGCGCACGATGGTAAGCACTTACCCAAGTAGCTTCTGAAACTGCAGTACTTGCCACAGTGTAAGGAAAAGGGCCACAGTCTGACCCTTAGGCCCTGTTCAGACAGATTTAGGATTAGAGGAGCCTCCCACCCCTTAATCTCTGCTTTGAACGGAGGTTTCACAGTTGCAGAAGTGTTTAAATATCAAGTTCTGAGCAGTAACAGGAAAATACCTAGGACCTGTGATTATAAACAGCGAAGAAGGGGAACCGCTCCTGTCCTCTTAATTCATGCTTTGAGCTGTGCTGTTGCAAAATGAATTACAGTAAAACCTGTGTTATCTGGCAAACTTGGGGATTAGGGCATGCTGATTATCTAAAAATTTCAGTTATCTGAGGGTCCCATCAACCTAGGAAAATTCAATGGACAATAATTATGGCTCAACAAATTCTGCAAAACCCTACGTGCCAGACCAAAAAAGACTTGCCACCCTCCCCCTCCCAAGTGTTTTTAATGGCATAAATTCCTAATAATAATAACAGTAATTACTAATACATTAATAAATATTAATAAATATCACTCTATTAATAAATACCTTTTAAATCTCTCCCTTTTCCCTCTGCTGCCATGTCTCCTCCCCTTGCTCCATCAGCTCCCTGGTGCCTGCTGCCCCCCCAACTCCTCACCTGCTGTTCTGACTCCTGCCCTTTTCACTGCCCTCAGCCTTCCTGAGACCTTCCCTCTTCCACCAGCCCTTCTCTCTCCCCTGTGCCCACTCCTCCAGTAGCCCCACTCTGATCATGTGAGCTACCCCCTCCTCATCCCTTCTCCTAACACCTCCCTCAACACACCTGCCCTGCCTCTCCTCTGGCGCTAGTCCCTCCCCTGCAGGTGTCTGCCCTTTTGCTTTACCCCCAGAATTCCCTGGCACCTGCACCCTCCTGGTACCCCTTCCCTCACTGCCCCACCCCCTTTGGCCCTCTTTTTTCCTGATGCCCGTGCCCTCACACATGCCTTGCTCCATTCCTGCCTTCCTCATGCCCACACGCCTTCTCCCAGCACTGCCAACCTCCAATGCCCTTACCCTCACCTCTCCCAGCATCACCCTGTCCCCCCTCCCACTGACAGCTCCCCTCCTGCCCTTTTCCTCATTGTCTCCACTAGGCCCCCTGGCATTTGTCTCTCCTCCACCCTGTCCCTTGGTGCCTTCCCCTTCCCCGGCTTCTGCCTTCCAGTTTGTGGGGCTGCGGGAGCCTTTTTGAATCCAGCAGTCGCTGGCCGTGATGTCACGCCAGCATCTTGGCATCTGCGGGTGTCCTGCCCTCTGGCTTGCGACCCGCCTCCTCGTGCTGCAGCTGCACGTAGGCAGCCCAGCGGTGAGAATTGCTGCACTTCCCTCTCCCTGGAAGTGCTCTGCTATGTCTGTAGCTACTCGCTAGCTGGTAATAGCTACTGGCCACAGGTGAGCCCTGGCAATAATATTAAAACAAGTTTTTAATATTGGTAGTTTTTTAGTGTGAGGTAGTTGGTCTTATTTTTTTATTTAACTCAAAATAGAAATGTAAGCCAATCATCTTTAAGTAGTACTAATTATGATAAGCCAGGCCTGTGTGGTTGGGGGCAAGGCTGGCTGACAAAGTTTTCTTGTTAACAGAGTGCCAGATAACAAAAGTTTCACTGTATAGGGTTGTGCCCATGTAACCCTCAGTGTTTCCCTCTTGACTGAGATGCACCTAGAGCTGAGGTGAGCATGGTAATATCTATTAGGTCACTGAATGCCTTTTTTTTTAAACTCCTTTTGGAAGTTGTCTCACTCTCCCAGACCAAAGTAAGATCAGACAGAAGTCTCCTGTGCTGAAGAAAGAAGCCTCCCCTGAGTGGAAGCACCTGTTTGTTTTTGATGGTGTGACTGCATCTCAGTTATGGCAATCTCATCTGGACTTGGGTGTCTGGGACCAGGCATCTTTTGGCTCAGCTGACCAGTTCCTAGGGGGAGCCAGGCTTAGCACAAGTAAGTCTTATGAAAAATGGAAACACTTCAGTGCTCATTTTACACAATACTAATTATTTACAATGCAGTAGCAAGACTGGTGCTGTGCAAAACCACAAAGAAACAGCGCTCAGCCTGAAGTGCTTCAGTCTTAGGCCTTGAGTGTGTGAATGCTTATGTACATGCATCACATTGGAAGAGTGGCATCTGGCCATAACAGCTGGTCTGGGTACAGAGCCTAAAAGCACAGGCAGCAGACCAAAGGAAGGTAGGGGCAGCCTGATACAGATACAAGTGTGATTTTAAAATAATGACAGATAAAATAGGTGCTAGCTCTCTTCAGCTGCCTGTCCAGTCTCCAGTGGTTATTTTCTTAGAGAGTGGTGACAGAGCTAGGTATGGAGGACAAGTTTGCAGAAAGAAGTGGGAGTGGGTCCAAGCCTGGAAATACAACCTTTCACTTGTGAGGCTCATTCAATCAGATATTCACAATGTTTAACATGTGTCTAAGTGTTTGCTCAATTGGGGCCTCTCTAGATAATGATTAGATCATACAAAAGTAACTTCTGCATAATTTATATTGGAAGAGGCAAGGGTAGAACTTTTTTCTCCCCCTTTCCAAAACCTCTGCTTGAGCATTGTCTGGCATTACCAACCGCTCCCTGGGCTGTACCAGGAAGTGTGGAAGAGCCTCATTTAACATTTGACCACAACCACTATTCCAACCAATGGTTGCTTGTCAAATCATCCTAACCCAAAATAGGGATGTTTAATCAAAATTTATCAGCTAATTGACTATTGCTGAAATTTCCATTGACTTCTCAAGTAGTCAGTAAGGGGAGGGAAGGTACAGCAGGGCATCCAGCATGAGTAGGGACTGAAGCAGACATCACTAGTGCCGGGTTCCCCACTGAGCCTGTGCTGCCCCTGCACCTGCAAAGATGGTGCTGGGGGGGGAACAGGCTTTTAAGATAGATGCAGCAAGTGAGGGAAAACACAAGAAATCAACTTGATAAGTCTAGACTTATCGGGTAGTCTACTACTCTTACACCCTTAGCCCGGGTACAAGAAACTCAAATACATAGAAATAAAAATATTAATGAAGTCAGTACAATATAAAATTTCAGACAGCCAATGATTTATAGCATACACTGAAATATAAATACAGCATATCTTCCTGAAAAAAATGTCAAGTATCAGAGGGGTAGCCGTGTTAGTCTGAATCTGCAAAAGCGGCAAGGAGTCCTGTGGCACCTTATAGACTAACCGAAGTGTTGGAGCATAAGCTTTCGTGGGCAAAGACCCACTTCGTCAGATGCATGTGACAAAGCGGGTCTTTGCCCACGAAAGCTTATGCTCCAACACTTTGGTTAGTCTATAAAGGTGCCACAGGACTCCTTGCCATTCCTAAAAAAATGCTTTAATTCATACCAAGTAATTTATAAGCCATTTGGAATATAAATACTATGACAATATTTGTGTCTGATTTTGTAAGGTTGAATGTTACACACACTTCTACTTAAATGGAGCCATCACAGCATTTCCAATCTGCAGCACTAGAGTGCCACAGAAACCAGGGTCCTCACTGTAGAATTCAAATTCCAGATTGTTCCAAATATATGGTGTCTTCACTGTACTGAATTAAATAGCTTTACACTTATGTCCGAGGAGGAGTTATATAATGAGACTAAGCATTATAAGGAAATGGAGAATAGAGATTACTTTAGTCAGGCAGAAAGTAAAGAGTTATTATTTTATGTACGTAAGGCCTTATCTTGTTGTTTCAACTTTCTTATAGAAGAACCATCTGGCATCCTGGATTCAGACTCCCAATCAAAACTTCAGTGGCAGAAAATTCTCAGCAACCCAAACGTTTGGATAGATATTACACTTACACTGCATTCAAATATAGACATTTTAAAATCCCAATAGCAACCATGTGACAGAAACATCCTTTCCAACTGCTCACATGCGGAAGCAAGTATTGCCCTCAACGTTAAGCAGCATGGCATATGCCGTGGTCACTCTTGCCTTCTAGAAAGAAATGTATCCTTCAAGAAGATATAATATAAGGGGAAACAGAGCTGTGTATTTAGAATCATTATAAAACTAATAAATATTAAACCATTACACTCCAAAGAGCATTTAATTTAAAAACTCCTATGGGCTATTTCAGTGTGAGCAGTTCCAGTACGATATACATCAACAGCAGCCAGCTCAAAGGTGGTGGTGTTTTGGGGATTAAATTATGCATTATTGCAGTATGCATTACAAAAGGGGAAGTTGTAATTCCTGAGTTACTGCAGTTAAAGTACAGGTGAAATTTCTTCATGTTTCCTTAGGAAACCATTAGAAGCAAGGCTGGAGCTTCCAAATTGTTTTAAAAAAGTTAAGAAGGAGATTGCAGGAGGGAGAGAGAAAAAGCACAAGGTATTTTCTCCCCTTGCCCCCCAAATGTTAGTTACTTTACTAGCTTGGGACTGCAAGAGAGTTTGGCATGCAGTACAGAGGAAGGGAGGGACAATGGAACATGCATGTTAGGGAGTCTGACTCAAGATCAAATGCTCTGGAGCAGAGATTTAGTTTTCCCCCCCATACATGTTTAAAGAAAGATGCCATTAATAACTCCCCATCATTGTAACAACTCCTAAAATAGCTAACAAGAAAAACACTTAATCTATTATTGTGAGTTAGTTGGTGTTCAGCCAGCTAGCAATCTGTGGAATATCAATATCTTAGAGCTGGTGTTGCCAAACCCATGGATGAGGGCTACTACTGTTTACTTCCTGGCCTGCAGAGGTTTGGAAATGCTCGGAGCTGTACAGCGATTTCAGAAGGGCTGCAGAAATGTCACTTCTCAGCATCCCCAGAATTTGGTTCTGTGATAGAAGTTGCCCTAGGACTGGGCATAGGTAGCTGCAGGAGGGGCCTGAGAGTGGTTAGTGATGCAACTATTTTCTTGCTCTCAGAAATGGGGCACCCCTCTCAATGCCTGCCTCACAACCCACTCCAGAGTCTTGCCATTATCGGGGGAGTGCACAGGCCCACTGTTTGGCCAAAGCCTTGCCTGCATTTGGTAAAAGACTGCGCCACTAAAGCGCATGCACACTCATGCACGCACACACTTCCTTCACCCTGTAAAGCTGCAAATACAACAGTTCAAAAGTGAGATATACAAAAGCTACACTGTAGTTTTATCATACAGTGCACTGCTGTGCTGGGATTAAACACCCCACAAAACACACTGAACTTCAAATCCTTTGTTACCTCGCAGATCTTTTATTTATATTCATGTGTTGCAAAAAAACTCACAACACTTTGCTATAAAAGTTTAATGTTAAGAGTATAAAGCAGAATAGGTGTAGTGAATGGAGGAGCAAAACCAACAATATACGGTGACCTTTAACAAATTTTCAAATATGGGGAGAAGGTAAATGGAAATGGATAAATGCTCTTTTAATGGACAGAACACAAGGGGGATATAAACAAAGAGTCCCTTCATAGTTGGAGTCTGAAATATTAAATCAAATATTTAAAAAATTAGAAAATTTGTTAGAAAAAAATAGGTGCAGTAAGATTGTATATACTGAATCATGTGCATATCACAATTTTCTTTGAAGTAAAAAGGTCATCTTTACAGATAACGTTTTATAGCAAATAATCATTTCATACACTGCTTCTGTAGCACAGACTTAAGTATATTGTTTAGGCAAATTTTACATGTGCAGTTCATTTTAATAAATCTGAAAAAGGTAACAAAATATACAGAGCAAAACTTTTTCCCTTTTTAAACTAGTGTTACAATCCATATATCTATATATAAATACTACACTACAGCTGATCATTAATTAAGCTGGAGTATATCATCAAGTATGAGTCCAACAGAATATATTTGCCTACCTATGCAAGGAGGGTATCAAAGAGTGTTCCTATACTGCATTTCTTCTGAGTGATCACTGCCAGAATATCTCCAATTGAACAGAGTAACAAAGAAAAAAAAAAAAGAGCGCTCACACTTATGCAGAAACAACCGATTTTCAGATCGCTCTGCTGGTACCATTTAGTAAAATTATAAACAAAGACCTGCAGATCTTTGCTGACAAAGCAGAATTAGTCTGACTATATGCTGTACTACAGAATGCAAAGATATGGCACAAAATTCACCTAACAGCATTGTTTTCATTTAAAAAAAAAACTGAATCCAGATGTACAACCTATCACAGCATATATATTTATGAATAGAAGGATGTAGTATTAAAGTAAACCCTGCTTGAAAACAAACCAAACAGATGTGACTTTAGGCCTTTTGGCACTAGTATATGAACGAGTTAAAGTTACCAGGATTACATTGCTTGGTTGACAGACTCAGTGGACAGTCACAACATTTGAATAGTAAAAACTGAAGGGAGATTCTCTAAGTTTAGAACATTTTATATTTATAGATATTTAGATGTTGTACAGTGACCCCTCAGAAAAGGCAGAACATATGCTAAGATCTGCCTTTCCCATAGTCTTGCTTTCTTGTCTGTAAAGTGCGCTTACATGGCCTCAAATTCATCGATTCTCTGCTTGGTGTTGCCTTGCCGGATCTGTCTCAGTGTCTTGTATTTGTCACGTCCCTGTCGCATGTTCTCTGTGTGGATCATGTCATTGTGGGTTTTCTTGTTTTCATCCCTGGCCTGGGCCAGCTCATCTGTCAGTGTCTGCAACATTAAGTACAAGGTGTTACAAATCTGGATCTTACATGAAAGAACTTGCATCTAAAGAGAGTTAGATAAGAGTCAAACATTAATGATGTTTTAGAGGCATTTGCCCACATACGTGGTACACAGAAGAGCACTGAGAAAAGTGAGTGAACAGGAGCTCTGGACATTTTGAGTATTAAAAATGTACTGATTGAACACTAGCTATTTGAATAGAGCCCCAGTCTAAGCCCATAGGAATTACATGAAAAAAAAATCAATCATGTTAAAGCACAAGCACAGACAGCTTTATGTCCAAGACTTCTCATAGGGCTCCCTACATGGAGATTTACACCCTGACTTGCCAGCATTAAATCTACCACATGCTTACTGGCCACACAGACCCTCCTATCATGCACTAACAGTTCTGCAGCACACAGTACAGTTCCCAGCAGTAGGCCAAAGTGCACCACAAACATATGGTGTGCAGTAGCAGGGTCCTCATGCCGCAAATTTTACACCCTCCTTGCTGTACACTAAGTTTTCATAAAGATGAGCCTACACTATTTTACATACCCCACTTTAAACACAACAGTTTTCAACAACTTTAGATTTGTTCCCCCCAATAATTTTCTTACCATCAATTGCCTCTGAACACGCTGATTCTTCTCTGCTTCAGTAATGCGTTTCTCTTCATTGCGATCACCCAAAATGCCTTCACTTGAGAACTCTGCACTGTAGCCTGAATATTCTGTTCCTTCATCATGCAAGTTATCATGGACATGGTAATTCACTGGTTCATAGACAGGGGCTGGTGGAGGAGGAGGTGGGGCAGTCATTACCAAATGTAGCTCTTCTTTTGTCTTCACCAGGTCATCTTGGGCTTCCTTGGCCTTTTAAAAACAGAAACAAAAAATGGGCCCAAAAGCAGACATGTACAGTTTACCTAAATCCAGCTCAATGAACAGGCTGTAGCACCCAAAGGAAAGGGACAGAAAGGGATACTTTTAGAATAGCTAGGTATTTGCTAAGCTAGAAAAATACTCTCAATGTACTCTTTGCTACAGTGAGTTTTTAAAAGTTTTATTAGGACGGTCGAGGAAGCCAATATAAATTTTCACTAAGTAAAGAGACTTCCTCCAACATGTAACAATGCCTAGAGGAGAACTGGTATTGTAAAAGAATGTGGAATTTTAACATACAGCATAAACCTGCCTGTCTGGCACCCTCAGGACCTGACTGATCCTGAACCAGGGAATTTGCCAGACCAGGGAAGTCAATGCTGTCCCTGCCATCAGGGCTCCCCTCTTGCCTAGTCTGGCAATACTTCTTGCCCCAGCCCACTAGTTTTCCCCTGTGAATGTTCCAGCCCCTGAGCATCCACAGGGATACTGATGATGCTGGATCAGGGGGTTTCTGGAGTAGGGAAGTCCAGACTACAGAGGTTCAACCTGTACTACTTTTCATATAAAGAGAAGCTGTTGGCCAGCCTTAGCTGGGAAGTCCATACAGGGAGAAATGCATCTCCCTAAATTATGGAATTGTACTTCTCAAATCTCTCACCAGTGTTTAAGAGAAATAAGAACACACATTTGTAGGGTTACCAGATGGTTTCAAAAAAATACTGGACACACTTGATCTCAGATCGAGGAGGGACCGGCTGGCGGGGAGCAGGGCTGGCTCGGGCGCACGCAGGTCCCGGGGGTGCTGCCCATCCTGTGCACTTGGGATTCCCACCCCCCCCCGCCCCCCTCCTCTCTGCTGTGTAGTTGCGTACTGCCTGGCTGGTAGACACACTCACGAAGTGTGAGCATGTCTACCAGCCAGGCAGTACGCAACTACATACTGATACTCATGATAATAATAAAACTTAATTAGAAAATACCAGACATTTATATGTCCAATATTTTCTCAATTTGTTTCCCGGACAGAAAGCTCAAATACTTGACTGTCTGGTTCAAAACCGATTCCTGGCAACCCTACACATTTGCTTCTGTATAATTATTCTTTAACAAAATATTGCAGGGTTATTTTCTTAGAGGTGCAAAATAACAAAGACAATAGGAAACTAAAGAGAGTGAGAACACATTTTTCAGATGTAATGTGCCAACATGTGTTAAAAACAAATAACTACACAATTAGGGATCTTCCAGATTTGCTCTCACTTCTGCTGCATCCCGAGTCAAGTCCAAAAGAAGGCACTTGCCAAGAGCAAAGTTATTGGGACTATTACATTACTGCTGTTACACTGTATCCATTTCTCTCGCTTTCATTCAATTCTTTCATACAAGAACATGCCTCCTAAGATGCACAAATACATTATGATCATGATTTCATAGTGAAGACTCTATTCAAAGCTGTTCTATAGCTCACTGTTCAGAGAAGTCAGATTTGTTGGAGGAGGGAGATATTACACATTGAACTTTGTATTCAAACTAACAGCCACATTCACAAATTCAGCATTTCAATTCTGGCTTTAATAAAGATTCTCTTTTTTACAAGTGTTGTACAAGGCTAAGCAGGTTAGTAAAAGTGTACCAACTCAAGTTTAAAGAAACTCACCCTGTGTTGCCATTCTTCAACCTCATTCTCTTTACGCTTCCTTGCCTCTTCCAGAAGAGCAATCTTGGCTGTGTATTCTGCAAGCTCTGCAGCCTATTGAATAGCAAGGCTAGAATTATACTTGGAGCTCTTTCAGTAATGCTTTTGTGAATGAGAAACATGACCCAAATGGTACATGATTTTGTGAATAGAAACTGCCACTGAGATAAACACGCCTTTAAGTTATGGGCAGTTTGCACTTACTCTGTATATCATTTGAAAAGTTTCCCAGTCGAAGATTGATTCCATGATTATGCTACCGCACTGCTTCCTCTGGCCTAATGGATCATTTTCTTGTACTCAAGGCTTCATTTAAAACACATGCAGTAGTGAGAGCCTATGTTAACTCAAGGTTTAATATGCTAAGCCTCAAAATGCTTATGGTTCCTACCAGCTGTTCCTGGCTCTTCATCTGGTCAACAGTTTGCTTCTCCAGCTCTTCTTTGGCTTGGAGAGCAGCCAACCGCTCAGTCTCCAGGCGCTCAGCTTCCTTCTCCGCTCGTCTCCTCTCTTCCTCAAGCTGAAGGGCTTTTTGGACCTGATCTGAGAGCTCTGTAAATGAAGGGGAATGTAAAGGAAGAGGAATGCAATAAATCACTGGGTTTAACTAACCTCTTTAAAAAAACCATAGTTTATCTAGAACATGAATACTCGCTTTGCCGTATTTTGTCAATGAAAGCAACTGTGGGTTTTAGTCCATATTGAGGAAAATAGGACAACTCCAAAGTCTTAGAACACCAGTGTAGGGAGTAGGGATGCTGCTTCCGATCCTCCATATCACTTTATATATTGGAGGTTGGGCGGTAGGGAGGAAACAAACTCCAGATTTCATTGATGTCTTGTTAATGAATCAAGTGTCCTTGGCAGGGCAGTTAAGGGAGGGACCATTAAAAGCTACTTGAACAATATATGAATCACCTTCTCTACTGGAAGCAGTCATATTACACCTTCCTCATAGGTGAAAGCCAATCTCCAGTTTTATCCCTCAGTTCCCAGACCAAAAAAAAAAAAAAAAAGGTGGGGTGGGGAGTCATTTCACATCTACTTCCTCTATACACTACACTGAAAAGGAAAGATGTCACTGTTCCTATAGTTATACATGCCTACCGACGCACTGCTAGGAGTCTGTTTTGTGCTGCAGATATGGGCACCTGCCAAGCCACATCACCACAATACAAAGTGGACAGGCAAAACACATGTGGGATCACCTGTAACCTTCCCGCTGTCCTTTGCCAAGCCCTTTACCTTTCTCAGCCTTCCTGGTCTTTATTTCGTATTCTTGCAGTCTCACCATCAGCTCCTCTTTCTCCCTCAACATCTGCTCCTTTTCTCTTTCAATGGTCTCTCTCTTTTTCTTCTCATTTTCCAACTGTTGCCTGTTGGAGAAATAACTTATGTTTAGAACCCAGAAAGGCAGGAGTTTGCTTGCTCCACTAAACTGCATCAATGCTGCAGGGGGCTTGGGTAGCTCTGAAAAGCCTCTGCTCAATTTGCAATGGCAGTCAAAAGTTATGTCAGTGTCATTGGAGGCAGGAGCGGTCTTTGTTCTAGTTATGTGCTAGGTTCTGTATAAATATAGATGTCCTAGATCAGTGTCTCTCAACCAGTGGTACAAGTACCCTCAGGGGTACTCGAGAAATCTGGGGGGAGAGGGTATGTCAACAACTGAAATTTGGAGAAAACTGAATTTTTGTTTTAAGTTTTACAGTGTTTTATTATTTTTGTACTTTTTACACCCAAAAATGTCATCGCCCACCCGGCTACAATTAAATTGTTTAAACAAATGTGTTGCAATGATAGAAGAAAAAGTGTGTGCTTGAAAACTGTAGGTACTGGGGGTATTTATAATAGGTTTTTTTAAAAGGGATACTCTATTAAAAAAAAAAAAAAAAAAAAAAAAAGGTTGAGAAATACGTCCTAGATGCTGTGGGTAATACTACTCCACTGGAGACAGCTGACAAAAATGATCAGATATAGCATAGTTGTGCCCCCGTTAGTGTCAGGACATTGGACATACAAGGTACGCGAGGTAATATCCAATTAAGGTATTAGCTCACCCACCTTGCTTATGATCACTTTTAGCACAACATGTAAACACTTCCAGATAGAGAGCCATTGAGAAGATTGCTCTAACTAAATGGCTCCAGAGTTGAACAAAAGACCTGCTAGAAATATATAAAGTAACAAAAAGCTTAGACAAGTCACATGATTCTATTTAGCCTCTCCTACCACAAGATGAAACGCAGCAGCAGCGGAAAAACTGACAACAGGTAACTGTTTTCTAGGGGAACTATCAAGCCACAGACCTATCTGTCTCTAGTTATCATTGAGGCCAAGATTTTTGCAGAATTTGAGAAAGGGATTAGAAATCCATGCGGATAAGAAGAGTAACTACAGGTACATTAGACAGACTCATACTCTGGCATAAAAGCCAAGAAATGGTGGTAGGAGGAAACATCTCTATGCATAGCTTATTCTGTAACTGTCCTCTCTACAGTTTTATACTTTCCTCTCAAGGATCTTGTTACCGATTGCTGTCAGACAGGATACTGTCATATGAACTTCGGGTCTGGGCCAGTCTAGCAATTCCCATGTTCTTTTGAATGGTTTCTTCTCCATGTAGTCAATGTTCTCTTGTAAGTTAGAATTTAGGGCCAGGTACCTCCCTCAGTCTAAGGTGGGAGGGCACCTGCTTTGGTGGAACCCCGCCCTACTGCTCCTATTCAGCTGTCATCACAACTAACATGCTTTACCTTATTACTTTGCTACCGTTCAGGTCACCCACCTTTCCCCTCATCTCTCACCCTCCTCTGTCCAGTTCAGCTCACCTTTCCATCTGTTTCTGGTGTTTCTCCTCACGGGCTTGAGCCTTCATCTGTTGGACCTCAATGGTGTCAGGCTTCCTGCGGCGCATGTACAGCTCATGGTTGCCCATGCACAACTGCAGGATCCTCTTATTAATTCTTAGACGAGGTGCATAAAACACAAAATCCTAGGGAAGAGACAAAGAGCAATGGAATCCAGTCCATGAGGCAATGGTTTCCTATGGAAGGAGATAAAGCACTTCTAATTTATTGTAGGCAGACCAGTCACATGGCCGCTGCCCTACTACAATCCAAAGGTATGCACAGGCATATATACTGAAATATACCCTAGGACTTACAGCTGTAAGTCAGATCTCCGATCCTTCTCATTTGGAGTCTTAAACCCTATCATCATCTTTTTCTTTAGATAAAGATGAAAAGTCTCAGCACCCTCAGCCAACTGTACCAAGACATACTTTACATGGGGTAGGGATGGTTCAGGAGGCACAGATGATTAGAAGTGTGGGAAGATAGCTTCCAAGGAACAGAAGGGAATCTATTATGTTACACACTGAAGCAATATATTTAGCATCTTTATCTTAGCTTGCATAGCTATAAATTTTACAGTGTCACAAAAAGTCTCCAATACTGGAGAGTCCAGCCACAATAACTATCAATATTTGCTGCAAGATCCAGCATGGTATCTCTACACAGGTGCAAAATCTAAAATATGCATGAGTGTAGCTATTCACTAATGGAACCATCACTGTGACAAGTGACTGTCCATAACAACTTCTGAAGTGCCACCATCAAGAATTCATGGAGCCTTTCTCTTCCCTCCCCCCCTTTCATCTAGGACAGGGATGGGCAAGAGGCTGCCAGCAGGACGGATCCAGCCCACATCCCCCTCGCCAGAACCCTTAATCAGAAGTCAGTTCACGTTTTAGAAAGCCGGCTGTTCTCCACTCCAGACAGCTGGGGAGAAGAAGGGAGACTTCATGCTGTTCCCGCCCCTCAGCAAAATCTCTTAGCTGCCATTAGCCAATCTCTCAGTTTCTGGCCAATAGGAGGCAAGAATTTTTGCTGGAATCAGGGGCAGTGTAGGAAGCCTTCTCTCTCCTCCCCCTCATTCGCCTTCCCCTTCCCCAGAAACTTTTAAGCTCTTCAAGCCTTTAGCTCTGCAGGCAGGTAGGCTGGTTTGGCTGCTGGCTGGTAAGTCTCCTGGCGAAAACCTGCCCCTGGCACCCCAGTCCCTTCCTTCCCCAACCCTCTGCCCCACACTCCTGCCCCGCTACTCCACACCCATACCCCCTCCCAGAACTGGCACCCCAATCTCCTGCCCCAGATCACAATCTCCTCGTAGCCTACGTCACAAACTAAACCCCTGCACCTCAGTCCCCTGCCCTAGGTCACAACTGCCTCCTCCCAACTCCCTCCCAGACCCAATTCTCCCCTTTTACACCCCAGTTCCATACCCCACACTCCCTTCTGCACACAACTTCCATCCCAGACCCCGTACTTCACCCATCAATATCCTGGAAGAGTGTGGCTCTTGACCACTTTCCAAAATTTTGGAGTGGCCCCCCCATCAAAAATTACTGCCCACCCCTGATCTAGGAGGAACACTTTATTTCCTTCCTCTAGAATAAAGATGGGAGACTCTTTGTTACTGAACCAAAAATAACTTCGGGAGTTTTTACAGGAGCAAGGATTTCTGCATTCATGGCATCTGCATTGTTCTCTTTGCCTCTCCATGGCATTTTAAAACACAACATTTGAGCTATGATCAGAGCTCTAGCTGAGAGTTAGCGAACTACTCTATCATCCTCCCCAACTTGCAACTCCACATGAATAATGCTTTGAATATTGGGTTACATGCAGCAATGATACCCTGAGTTAAACAGGGAAAGATTTCTGGGTTGACAAGAATGGCACAAAATCCAATCAAGCACACAGCACCTAACTATCCATTTATTGGAACAAAACTCACCCTCCCTGTAGGTAACAGCTGGACCCTACAAAAGTAAATTCTTCAGTAAGGCTATGCTCAAAGCCCTGGAATTATTTGTTACTGGGCCAGATCTGTGAACAGTTAGATTCAGTAGGGCTTTTAGCTCAAGAAACACTGATTATTCAATAAGTAAAGCGTTACATTTCTGCTATCATAGCATGCTTTGCATAGGGCGATAAGACAAGACCAATGGATAAAATGACAAGTCACCTGGGAAATGCCCTTCTGTGATCACGTGAAACTGAATTTACACAAGAAGAGAGCTCGAGCTGTACATTTGCAGAGGGGGAGTTGGAGTGACTGCCATTCCAAACCTTCCAAATCACACCTAATGTTTAGAACCTATTTTGGACATAGGACTAATACAACTGGAAGAGACTCTAGAAATAATGAAATATGCTCCTATCTGTCTCCATATTCAGCAAGAACCTGCCGGCAAGGACACGTTCTCTTCACCATATAGCCTGCACTCTATTCATATACCAACTCTGAAGAATGCAGACTTTGCAAGCAAGCACTGTGTTTTTTCTGACTATTCAGACCACAATGGCTTTGGCATGCCTGGCATTATCTACAGTTGTAAATTATTGTGTTTCCACATATGGCAAACAATTAAAAAAAGCCAAACTGCTAAGTGTACTATATGCAGCTATGGCCTCATCTCTAAGCACTATCCAATCCCAAGAAGGTAAATACTAAAGTCATGCATGGTAGCCCACATTTGTCATCTATAGCCTTGTAACCAAGGAAGAAAGAACTCATGTAAAAGACCAGGAGTTTTGCAATCAGAGGTACCTTGGCCTAGTGTGAGATGAAGAGATGCTTTCTTACATGGCATTATGAGACACCTAGCAAAATTTTCCATCTCTATTCAGTATCCTTGAATGTGGACTCAGTCTCCACACAACCTGGTGCCTAAGAAGTCAGACTCTGCTCCTAGTAAACTTAAAGTTTTGTCAATATAAGAGGAAAAAAATGGCAATCCTATTTTTAATGTGGGGTTCCTACAGGTTGGTACCCAGGGCTGGGTGCTTGTTTTGGAAATTTGCCCTTGGAAGCTCAAAAGACCTCTGCTTCTGCAACTTTAGCAAAGTGTGAATATTAGAAGCATCCATGGCATATAAAGCACTCCAAACCAAATGGAGCAGACATAATAGGTGTTTTCAACAGTAACAGCTTTACTGTATTAGTCCCTGCAAGTTTTCATTTTAAATGCATTCAGGTTTCCAGCTGGTGTGGGTGAAAAGCTGTGTCCATGAATCACAAACAGGAGATTAACATTTTGTTCCCAGCATGAAGTATGACTGCAATCA